CTTAACATTGTGATGCCAATCTGGACAACTATCAATGTTATAGTCTGATCACTCAGCTAACATGGTATGTTCTCAACTTCTTCATTAACAGAGAAATTCTCTTTTGTGATTCATAATACTACAGAAGAGTGTAAACATCCTATGCTTAAAACCCCGCAATGGTCCCATCGTCCACTGATAATTCCTACTTAAGTCAATGACAGCATTGATGACGATGAAACAGTGGTTCCCCTCATAAATTGTATCATTCCTTCTGGATTAATAACTGACATTATCTTTTGACATTAAAAAGGCTTTCTTTCTATTCACTCTTCCCATTATTTACTATTCTCTAAAGAATTATAACCATCTACCTTTCAATTTTCCCAAATTTGGCCAGCTTATCTGACTGTAGATTTCTTCCCAAATGAGTCCTTTTGATATGCCCATTAGGGTTTTTGTTTTGTTTTGCGACTTTGTTTTCTGGAACTGATTCTGGCTACCTTATGTTCTCTGCATCCCAGGTATAGTATGAACCATCAGAAACCTTGGTTCCTTTTGACGGTGTATGGGATGATATTTAACAAACAAGATCTAGGTCATAAATATACTCAATATGCACATTTTCAGACCATACAGGATAACCAAACATGAAAGAAAATCCTAATCCTCAAAATGTCAGAACCACATATATTTGCTGAGCTCTTAATGCTCATCTGCATTCCCTTTGTTGTCTCTCCATTAATTCTACTGGCTAAGAAAACGGCATGTTGTTGTATACTTTTCTTCTCAGGAGCTATTTTTGGGGAAGAACTAAACTTTTCATTTAAAGTTCAAAATATGAGAACCTATTATCTTAAGCTGAAATCAAATTCAAAACAGAATTGATTTCATTTATTAGGCAAAGTATATTTTAAGGATTAAAAATAGAATCATAATCTTTGCTATCTCTTACCTCCTAGTAATTTAAAACATTTTTAACTTTGTGCAGGACCAGCTTAACAGTAAATATTCAATAATTGTTTCATTCATTACCCACACAAATCCCTATCGCTATTCACATGACTAAGAATTCAAACAGTCAAAGTTAAACCTTTACACAACACAATACATGGGTGTATATTAACTAGCCTTTTCTTCCAGAATAAGAAATTCAAGTCTTCAAATGCTTTTATGGCTCCTCTATTTGAATAATAGTCTAATATTGGCCCTTAAAACCCTTGTAATTTCCTGGGAGTGTCAATTATTCTAATAAGGTGACTATGTGTAAGCTCCTGGACCAGCTTCACACGCTATTCTATTAAAAAGGTAAAGGGGACAGAGTCAGTTTAATAACCAGTCATGCCTATATCATAAGGCCTCCAGCCAGGTGCCGGTGGCTCACACCTGTAATCCTAGCTACTCAGGAGGCTGAGATCTGAGGATCGCGGTTCAAAGCCAGCCTGGGCAGGAAAGTCCATGAGATTCTTATTTCCAATAAACCACTAGAAAACCGGAAGTGGCGTTGTGGCTCAAGCGGTAGTGCACTCTCCTTGAGCTGAAGAGCGCAGGGACAGCGCCCAAGCGCAGAGTTCAAGCCCCATGACCGACCAAAAAGCAAAAAAACGAAACAAAACAAAAAGCCTCCATTACAGGTTTGGAAATCTTTCAAACTGACAACATAGAGGGGTACTGTACCCAAGGAAGACAGGGACACTCTGCACTCCCCTGTGACCTGTCCTATGAATCTCAAATTTGGATGTCCCTGAGCTGTTCTTTTTAGGTTTGAAGCTAATAATCAAATATAAGGAAGGGGTCATGAAAGCCTCCAACTTACAGCACAGGTGACAATCTGGAGCTGTTGATTAGTGTTTTATGTCGAGAGTAGTCTTGTGCCACTGAGCTTTTAACACATGAGATCTGTACTGGATGGTGTCAGAATTGCTTGCAGTCAGTGTCCACTGAGGAACTACTTGGTAATATTGGGGAAAACCCCAACACCTCATGGTAACCAGAAGTGTTCCACAATATGTGAAGTGTGAAAATAGTAAAAAGCTAGATCTTCCCCATCTCTTACAATGTGTGCTCTTCCATGCAATTAGGATGTGAGTGAAGATGAAGCTGACAGTCACCCATGCCTATATCTCACCAGCAGAGGGCAGGAGAGGACAAGTGCAGGAAGGAACAGTATGGATCAAGTATTTTGAATAAGATTACAAACCATTTAAAAAGAAGTAGGTCTAATACTCTAAATAGTACATAAGATATTGTACTACATGAAGGGCTGAATTTATGAAAATTTGTAATTTTTCTCTTTATTAAAAACATCAGTAAGCTCAAAAAAGCAATATTAATATTTTTCTCTCCAGAGTAAATATAATGAGTATACGTATTTATTCGCTTATCAAGTGCTTGTCTGGGGGAACCCAAAACACTTTGCCAACATTACATTAATCCTCTTAGGAGAGAGGATTACGATCCCTACTTTAGAGAATTGCTAGAATACAAGCCATGCTCACTTGATTATACATTAGTACACCAGTTTCCTAATAGCAAAAAGTGCATGCTTCAAGGGTATGCTTTATAAAGACTGCAGACTTCAACAAAGCTATCAATCCATTGATTTAATTCTATTAAAAGGTATTTATATATGTATAAATTTTATTAGTTTCCTACAAGCAGCTTGGCTACTTTAACAAGGCAACTACTTTAAAAAAAAATACATGAACTTAAATAGAAAAACTGGGATTAATCTGAAAACTAGTTTTTGGCCTTCAGATGGGGTTTATATGAAACAAAGAAGTCAACTCTATTCTGCAAAAATGTTTTTAAATGAGTCAATTATATTGTTTTGTTTTATTTTGTTTTGTTTTGTTTTTTGTCGGTCATGGGGCCTGAACTCTGGGTGTGGGTGCTGTCCCTCAGCTCTTCAGCTCAAGGCGAGCGCTCTACCACTTGAGCCACAACACCATTTCCGGCTTTTTCTGCGTATGTGGTGCTGAGGAATCGAGCCCAGGGCCTCATGCATGCAAGGCAAGCACTCTACCACTGAGCCAACTTCCCAGCCCTATATTAAATTCTTTAAACAATCAACTCATTATAAGCCTAACTGCACTGTGTAGGAGATCTTTTATTGGATAGGTAAGTCTTAGAAACCAAAAATTGAAGAAAAACATCTGCTTTCAAGCATGTATGCTCCACTAACAAGAACATGTTTTTCTCAGTCCTAGAATTCTGTGCAGCATCTAGTCTACTGCAGGTCACACTACTGTGTCAATAGCACAACTATTAAAAGAAAGAAATTGGTCCACAGGGATCTGTAAAATCGCAAGTTTATCTACATCTCTTTTAAAATAGGTTTTCATTGTCTTTCAGTAGCTGTGCAAAGAAGTTGCCACTTAACAAGGCAGTTTATGAATACAAAGCATCTTGATCAATATCACCCCTTTCAACATTCTCCGACATCCCTTTCAACCCTACACCTTCCTTCAATTTTATATTTTGTATTTCATAATTTTGTAGCATTTGCTTTGACTTTTGTGACTGTATTCGCCTTCCTCTTCCTCTCTTCATTCCACTACTTCCCTTCCTTTGGCCCCACACTCTTGGGAATACCTTGCTTTATTTTGTTGGATGGTTGGTTAGCCTTTCTAAGGAATTATACTATTTGAGTTCTCCCCTGAATCTACCCTACTCAGTCAATACATTTGTGTACACTTGTATATCATCCAAAACTGTTCGTATGTATTTATAAATTAATTCTAGCTTCTACATATGAGAGAAAACATGCATCCTTTTTCTTTCTGGGCCTCACTTCATTTAACATGATTTTTTCCAGGTCCTTCCATTTCTTTGCAAGATGATGCAATATTCTTTCTAATCTTAAAAGTTTTGCTACAGTTCTGGTTTTCAGAATATTCTGATCTTAAAACATTTTTTAAAAAAGATTTTTCAAATTCTGAAAAATATTCTTCAAATTCCAATTTCAGCTGCCCTGCCTGAAGTTTAGCCCCTAGCTCATAGGATACACACAAGCAGAAAATTATCCCAGCTGACATCTCACTTTCACTATATAGACTTTTGGCCAGGAAAGGGGAGGAGGAAGAAAAGAGGAAGAGGGAGGGAGGAGGAGGAAAGAGAAGGAGGGGAAAGAGAAACGGGGGGGGGGGCAAGGGAGGGGAGAGGAGGTTTGTTGTTTGTGTGCCCCCCTCCCCACTCTTCATCCTGGGGCTTGATGTCAGGGCCTGGATGCTGTGCCTGAGCCTCTTTGTGCTCTACCACTTGAGCCACAGGGCCACTTTCAGCTATTTTGAGTAGTTTATTGGTGATAAGATTCTCATGGGGACTTTTCTGCCTGAGCTAGCTTTGAACCATGATCCTCAGATCTCAGCTTCCTGAGTGGCTAGGATTTACAAGTGTGAGTCACCAGTGCCCGGCTTGGGAGGGAGGTTTTGAGCAACTGTACTGCTTCAACCCCTACTTCTCATGCACATCCAGTGCAGCTCCCTGCTGAGTGGAGTCAAGAGAAATTGCTTTTGGGTTTTTTGTTGTTGTTTTAAGCTGGCAGGTTTACCATGTCACTTAAAATTCTGAGACAGTTAGTTATCTGACTATAGAAAATGTTCTATTTTGTCCTTAGTGGGAACTTTATGTTTTAAAGGACTACTAGTCATTAAAATGCTGCCTTTTTGGCCAGAGGGAACATGAAAATTACTTGTGATGCTTTTTGAAATTTGTCTGTCCAGGCTCCTGCCACAGAGACTAGTTTCAGTGACAGGTAGGGGTCTGCTGAGATTGGGGCTACCATTCCAAAATGCAACTCTTACTTTCAACCATCTCTTAGAATCTCATAAACCCTCCTAGAATTATTTCACCATTAGTTTACTTTCTTAGAAGTCATATCATTAGGGTCAAATTTTAACAAATACTGTGCCTGTACTTGCCTATTATATCGCACTCAACAATCACAAAAGGGGTAGATCTTACTCCTCTGGTAAAGATAATCCAACTGTTGTGCCAAATAAATGAAGAAGTGAACTTACCCGTTCCATAGCTGCATTATGATATGGAAGCTCCTCCTCACTGCAGAGAATAATAATACATGTGAGATCACTGAAGCAGATTGTAAAAATATATACCTATCCATGTATATGGTGTAGAGTGTCATCATAAGAGCATCCTAAGAGTTGCATAAGCTTCCTAGCTACTCAGGAAGCAGACTTCTTGAAGACTCATTGGTACCAAGCCAGGTCAGGGAGAGAAGTCAGCAAGATTCCATCTCCAAATAATGAGTAAAATGCCACAATGGAGGTGAGAGCTCAATTGGTAAAGTGCTTACTGATACAAAAGTAAGTAAACTTTTTTCTAGATTTAGATTCCACCTAGTCAAAATGAATGACTGATAGAATTTTCATTCCTTGTAATCAAAACAGATAATCTTGAAAAAACTTTATTCTAACACTCATATATTTACATAGTCATGGTAAACTACAATCTGTTAAATTCTATAAATATAGAAATTCTGATAAGTAGTTAAACATCTGATGCTTGGTACTAATTTTTATCATCCCTATTTTTGGTACAATTTCCTCTTGATTCTCCTATTAATAACTTGTGATCTAAAGTATAATTTATTATCATCCAAATACCAGGCATTCTCAGTTGAACAGAATGAAATGGCTATTTTTGACCAACATGTTTAAAGTTTTCCAACTTCTTAAGCAACTTGATTTTTTTTTCTATTCTGCATCTGTAGGTCCAACATAGGCACACAAACTGGGGTTGATGCCCCACTGCTGGGAGCGAAACAAAGACACTGCTATTCCAGCATCAAGCCAGGTTGGGTTGGCCACAAATTTAATATATATTGTCAAATCTGTTAGTCCCATACTGTATTTGTTAATAACTGTCACTCCTTCTTTATATATTAAAGCAAAGTAGTTTAAGTTTCTAGAAGTGTGACTAGACATGAGCTTAGTAGCTTTCACATAAATCTATAAGCTTATTATCTTTTTTTCATAATTTCAGTGTAGATGAGGAACTTAAAATCCAATATTATTGCAGAGCCAAAAACAAATATACAAATAACTAGCATAAGAGAAATAAATGCTCTTTTGATCAAAGTGTGACAGAGAGTACTATCTAAAGGCCTATATCAAGTTATTTTGTTTTGTAGTGAAGATAATTCTCCTCAGTGACAGGCAATAAAAGCCACCAGCAACAATCTCTGGAGAAGGTGTTTTACTAAAATTAGGCATTGTAACAAAAGAGCAATGACTTTAGAGAAAGTTAATAAAGTTTTATATTACACTCAAATACATTTCCATGTCTCAATATTTTCATTTGTACTACCTGCTTTAGGAAAGTGTCATGTAGTAGTCTTTTTTTTTTTTACTATGATAGTTTGAGAATTGGTACCAAAGGAAATGGTAAGGCTTGGCTCTCTTAATATGGATATATATTTCAATAGAAGTAATCATTTCCACTCTTGCCCTCCCGCCTCCACTGTCTAATGAAAAAAATGTAAGTAGCCGCCCTTTTTGGCTTTAAAAAGGGCTGCTCTCTGTTAATAAACGAGTTTTCTACCTGCTTGGACGAAAAAGAAAAAATGTAAGAAGGCAGGAATAGGCAGTGTATTACAGTATTCAGAATATGGACTCTTCAACGAGTTCAAGGTCCACACTTAGATCTTACACTCACTATCAAATAACTTGGGGATGTTACTTGACCTTTTTGTGTTTCAGCATCTAAAAACAGAAAGAGACAGACAGACAGACAGACACACACACACAGAGACACACACACACACAGAGAGACACACACACACACAGAGACAGAAAGAAACAGAAACAGAGAGAGAGACAGAGAAAGAGAAAGAGAGAATGCATAAACACTGCCCCAAATAATTTTTTGAGATGAATAAGTGAACTAATTATGTAAAGATGTACAGGGCTTAGTACAGTGTCTGACACACAGCTACTGACTTTTCCCCACTACACCTAGCAGACACTGAGAGCAAAAAACAAATATGAATTATCTGACTGCAATGCTTGGATTGCCAGATATATCTAAGAGCTTGTGCCAGACTTTTGTGTCTAAGGCCCAGCTCATGTTGTTTCAAGCAGCAAGAAAATATAGGTAATTAACAGATTCTGTTGGACTGCACAAATTTTTCACATGTCCTTGATGCTAGCTACATTGGGCCATTATGTCATAAAAACACAATCATAGTGATTCAGTCCCATTAGAAAAACTTGGGAAAGACAAAGTAAACTCAGTAGCATCCCAATGTCTAAAAAACAATCTAATATTGGACTCAGTGATGATCTTTCTTTTTTGGGGGGGAGCGGTCTTGGGACTTGAACTATGGGCCTGGGCACTGCCCCTCAGCTCTTCAGCTCAGGGTGAGCATTCTACCACTTGAGCCACTTCTGGTTTTCTTGTGGTTAATTGGAGATAAGAGTCTCACTAGACTTTCCTGCCCGGGCTGGCTTTGAACCGCAATCCTCAGATCTCAGCCTCCTGAGTAGCTAGGATTACAGGTATAAGCCATCAGCGCCTGGTTTCCATGATTTTTTAAAAAAGAAATTTCTGGCTGATTAAAATAGGCAGACAATTTTGAGACCTGCTCATTTGAACAGTTTAATGTTCAAACTATCCTTCAAAACTTCATTTACATATTGTATACATGAACCCACACAAATGTACCAATGATCTCCTGTTGCATTTGTAGTCATCTGATTTTTTTACATTTGGGAATGGGCCGAATAGCAAAAGAAATTCCAAGTAATAAGAATACTGCTGAAGGTATCATAATATTAAGACTTCAAATTATACTACAGAGCCACAGTAACAAAAACATTATGGTGCTAGTATAAAATAAGCCCAAAGGCCAATGGAAGAATATAGGAGATCTACAAATACAACTACACACAGCCAACTAATTTTCAACAAAGGAGCCAAAAACAATGAAGAAAAAGACAGCCTTTTCAACAAACAGTGATGGGAAAACTGGGTATCTACCTCTAAGAGTCTGAAACTAGATCTCTACCACTCAACCTGTACAAAAATCAATTCCAGCTGGATCCAAGAGCTGAAAACAAGATCTGAAACTTTAAATCTACTACAGGAAAATGTAAGAAAAACTCTGGAAGATACAAGTCCAGGTAGATACAACTCTGGAAGATACAAGTCCAGAATAGAACTCCAGATAGCCAGAGGAAGCGAGCAAGAATTAACTAATGGTATTATATCAGATTAAAGACTTTTTGCACAACAAGAGAAACAATCACCAGAAGTATGAGATAACCTACAGAATGGGGAAAAAAATTCTCACTAGCTACTCAACATATAAAAGATTACTATCAACAAAATACAGAGAACCAAAAAAATTAAGCAGTAAGAGAACAAATAATTCTATCAACAATTGGACAAAATGAGCCATACAAGAAGAAATACAAATGACTAATTGGCACATGTGCAATCGACTTAGCCACAACAAAGACGTAAATCGAAACCATACTAAGATTCCCTCTCATACCAGTCAGAGTGGCCACCATCAAGAAAACAAACAACAACAGAGACTGGAGATGAGATGGGGAACTGGGATTCCTTGTGCTGTTGGGAATATAAACTAGTGTCGTCTCAATAGAAATGAGTATGGAGGTGCTCAAAAAACTAACTGTAGACCTTCCTTATGACTCCACATACCACTACCAGAACGTATCCAAAGGAGAATAAATAATATACTAGAAAGACATCGGTACATTCATGTTTATTAAAACACTGCTCACAAGCCAAATGATAGAATCAACCAAGGTGCCCAATAACAGATGAATGGATAAAGAAGATTTTCTGTCTGTCTGTCTGTCTGTCTGTCTCTCTCTCTCTCACACACTCACTCACACATACATACACACACACAATCACACACACACACACACACACACACATACTCAGTTCAATATTACATATCCACAAAGAAAAATGAAGTCATGTCATTTGCAGGAAAATAGATACAACTAGGGAACGCCAAACTAAGCTCAAAAAATGAAATATCACACTCTCATTCACAGACTTTAGTAGGAAGGGAGACTAACTACTGTAAAAATAGATTACTTGAAACTATGATAGTAAAACAAAGAAATCTTCTGGGAAAGCTATTGGGGGGCAAGGAATGTGATAGAGGGGTTCAGGTTGATTTGAATGTAATATAAACGTGAAGATGTAACAATGAACACCCCCCCACACACATAACTAATACAAACTAATAAAAAATAGGTGGAGATCTAAGAAGAGTGTTTCCACCATAATCAAATACTGCTGCTAATCTAATTCAATTCAAAGTCTTCTCTTTTAACTCTTCAGGAAAAATTTTAGATATATGATGCTACTATGAGGCACAATACTAACATCTTATACAAATCTAAACCTTACTTTTTTTTTTTTGTCGGTAGTGGGGTTTGAACTCTGGGCTTGGGCGCTGTCCCTGTGCTCTTCAGCTCAAGGAGGGCGCTCTACCACTTGAGCCACAGCGCCACTTCTGGTTTTCTAGTGGTTTATTGGAGATAAGAGTCTCACGGACTTTCCTGCCTGGGCTGGCTTTGAACCTCGATCCTCAGATCTCTGCCTCCTGAGTAGCTAGGATTACAGGTGTGAGCCACCAGCGCCCGGCTCACACTTACATTTCTCCAAAGCGTCAATACTCTTAAAATATAGAAGACAGTGTGTTTTTGAACCATGAATCATAAAGCATGAAGTGGTTCAGTAACCAGAGACTAGGAAAGCACAAGAACAGCAGACATCATTTACTAATTCCTGTATGTTTGCTTTACCCTCAATAAAACATAATACAACAAAATGACCACTAAATACACACACACACACACACACACACACACACACACACACACTCTCTCTCTCTCTAAAAAAAACAATAAACCAAACCTGCAGAGGAAAAAAATAAAGTCTGAATACTGTAAGTTACTGCTATGAGTTAAACAAGAAAGTATTTATTTTCCTTTAAAATTGAGTCATATTATAAACAAAAAATCCTAGTTTTTCCTATCTAAACTAAACACAACCGGAAAAGTATATTCAAATGAAAAATTTAGCTAATCCTTAAATTGTATGGACTCAAACAAGTATAGAAATGAACAGAAGTCTGGAGTCTGTGGGAATCTGAGTAAACAATATCAAGACCAGAACAAGAGATTCACATCATCTTGCAGGATGTTTTAATACTGCTTTCCTTTCTATTACTCTGGCCTCTCTCTTTAGATGACACTCTCAAAATTAACGGAATTAATTTTGATGGAATTAATTTTGAGAAGCAAAATCATGAGCATATAACTATACAGATTAATGGCTTTTCTTTTCATTGCTCATTTTTAGGGTGCATATCACTAATATTCTAACTGCTATTTATTTTTAAGTGTATGTATATAAAATTGAATGCTTTATAATTATTTAAAATGTTTAATTCTGCTAAATTATTAATACTTCTCATTTACTATATTTACCAAATTTACTATCTTACCAAATTAAAAAATACCTGTATGCCTCAATTTTAATGATAGTTTAAAATGCCAGTAATTTAGTGCCAATGAAGTAAGGTCATTACAGAATCTCATTCACAAAAACTCTACTAAAAGTAAAGAAAATATGTGTTACCATAAAAATATTACAACCAAAAAAAATTAGCTTCCACTCCATATAACTTACTGTAAAAAGCCAAATCTATCGGTGACTTTGTAAACGAGGTAATCAGCATCTTCCCAAGGTTCAATCTCTGCACCTTCTCGCCCCTAATGTAATAGAAAAGAATGTTACTGGGAACTGAGGTTTGAACTCAGGATCCATGCTTGTTATGCAAGCGCTCTACAGCTAGCCATACCAGCAGCCATTTTTGCTGCTCTGGTTATCTTGAGATATGGGTGATTTCTGCCCTGGCTAGCCTAGACCTATCTTCCTGTTTGAGCTTCTTGCCACAGCTAGGACAACAGATACCATGCTCAGTTTGTTTGTTTTTTTTTGGCTGAGATTTGAGAGTGCAAACTTTTTGCCCAGGTAAAACTTGAACCACAATCCTATCAAGCTCAGCCTCCTCAGTACCTACAATTACAGACATGGAACACCAGCACCCAGACAATGTAGTTTAGATTCATAGTTGTTTCATGGCAGTAGATGTTTAACATTTTTCATGTGCTTACTGCCCATCTGTACTTCTCATTTGGAGAACTGTCCAATTTATCTGTCCATTTATTAATTGGATTATTCGCTATTCTGATGCTTAACATTTTTTTCATTTTCTATGGATTCTAAACCACACTAAAATGTAGTTACAGTTGGCCTGGTGGTTTATACCTGCAGTCTGAACACCAAGGAGGCTAAGGTAGGAGGGCTGATGGTTTGAGACCAATCTAGTCTACAGAGCCAGCCTGGACTGCATAGCAAGACCTGTTTCTAAAAAACAAGCAAGAAAATGAATTGCAATAATGGAAAACTATGTCTTGACCAATCAGCTTTAAAAAATGAACTCTTAAAGCATAACTATTAAATTGAATACCACATATATCTCCCTGGAAGCAGTGCACAGTCCAAATGGCTTTTTTTTTCCTCACAGGGTCATGCTCCTGTTATTCTCACAAATACTTTTTTATTTTTATTTTATTTTTTGTCGGTCATGGGGCTTGAACTCTGGGCCTGGGCTCTGTTCCTCAGATCTTCAACTCAAAGTGAGCACTCTACCACTTGAGCTACAGTGCCACTTCTATCTCACAAATAATTTAATATATAATTACATCCAAGTGATAGAAGCATAAACTGTAACATTTATAAATAACTGCTATGACTCACTATAAAACTCAGAAGGTAGGATAAGATATGAAAACTGTCAACAATTGTGATTTTTCTAGAACATCAAAACAGATTCTATGCTATCACAAGGATAAAATGCTAAGGCAAGTTATATACAAATGTACAAATATAAAATCTAAGATGCACAGTAAAGTTATAATAGCAGGTATTAATTATAAATACAATAGGAATTCTATACTCAAATATTTATTGAGTACCTAGTATGAGCCAGAAAATGTTCAAAGTATGTCAGATACAAGAGTAAATCAAACAGAAACTCTTGCTCTCAAGAGTTTATATTCTAGGAGACAGAGCAGACAATAAACAAAATAAGTATAACATATGGATGGTGATATATTAAGTCTTAGAGTAAAAGAAAAAGGGGATCTAGAGAGAAAGGGGGTAGAAAAGAGAGTAGTAAGAAAGAACATTAAAAATCTCACTAAGAAGGTGTTATCTGAGTAAAGATCTGCAGAAAATGAGGCACTGAAGCATTAGGATATATCTAGGACTCAAGTGTTTCCAGGCGAAGGACACACAGCCAGTGCAAAGGCCCTAAGGCAGGAGCAGGTCTGTGCTGGAAAACAGCAAGAGACTAGAGTAGCAAAAAAGGAAAGAAAGAATATGAAGATGAAGAAAAAAAGATGAGCTCGATGTTCTTATGAAGTAAACAAACTGCTTCTGTAATTTCAGCTCTCCAAAAAGTAAATCCCTTTCTATTTATGTGGTTTTTCTAATAAAACTAACTCCAAGAGTAAATATGGATACTTACTCTGTCATATTTAGCAACTATTTCAGCGCGTTCCTGGGCAAGTTTGAGTGCTACATCCTGGTCTGAATCTGTAGAGAGATCAAATTTAGATGTGCTGTTACTCAAAGAATCATAAAGTTATTTATAAAACTAAGATAAATAAAAATAAAACAAAAATGATATTGCCTAAAATGAAAATTCAGCAAAGTCAAATACACTTAAAAGAATGAGTTATATCCAACTTCAGAATATCAAGCTACCTACCACTTCAATATTATGTATGAATTCAAGAGAAAGCAAATGTATGAACACAGCACAGACTTTAGACCTCAGAACATAATAAAGCTAAGCCCTCAAAAATCAATCTTGATTCTAGTATTTCACAGAAAAAGAAACTAAAGTAGAAACTGAAATGGATAGTTCTATTTTAAGACGAAATCTACTTGGGCAGAACACCATTCAAAAACAAAAACCTTTTAAAAGGTGGGAGAGGGACAATACAGAACAGTCAAGTCTCTAACCACCGAGTGGAAAACCAGTTTCCAGGTCCTGCTGCTCACTCTCCTGAGTGGCCTCTACTTTCTCTTTACTAAATGAATTCTTTATATTTGTGGGGGGGAGGGGGGAAGGAATACTTAAAATTAAGGTAATATATATACATATATAAAATGAACTAGCACAAATATACTTTGAGATTTATAAAAACAATTATGCTACATGATGAAATTAGCATGTCTTCATTTAGCCTTTCAAGTTCTTTTTATCAGCTGCCTCAACTACTGTAATAACCTTGTAGCTGGTCTAATTGCCTTCAATTTTACAACATGCACACATAAGCACACACATGCCACATGCACACACACCCTTCTTCATTAATATAAGGTCTTTCAAAAACACAAATCTGACAACAGAAGTTGCAAGCATAACATGAAATAGTACCATATATAAAAATAAAAGGCCAATCACAAATTATACTAAAGCATCTCTGATCAAGAAGAAAAAAAAAGCAGCATTCCAGCAGAAAACCAGGCAAAAATGATCAGCAAGAAATCCACAAAAGTACCAGCAGCTGCATTCTCTCTATGTTATTACTACACACCTGGCAGATGGCAAGATGCTCCTGAACAGCAGACACTGACAGAGCACTTTAGTCCCACAACCATACAAGAAGGCAGGTGTTGGTGGCAATCCTCCACCAATTCTGAGATCTAGAGATCTCAAGCAACTTATCCAATGGCACAAAGCAGGTAGAAGGCAAAGATAGGAGGCAAATCCAGCAGTTCTGACTCTATAGCCTATAATTTTAACCACTCCTTTATACAAATGACCACTAAAAATATTAAAAAGTACTTCAAGTGGCATAAGGAACTTATGCTTTTGCAACCATTTTTTCAGTAAATGTTCCTAAATGATCATGTAAGGTTTCTTAACCCTCCTTCTTCAAAGTTCAGTGTTGTGGTGGCATATGTCAGGAAAAGCTCACAGGATGAAGCTTTGGTTCCCAGTTGGTAACAACTGGTAAGGTGAGGTGAGGTGACTGGATCACGAGAGCACTAACCTAATCAATAAATCAGGCAATCACATATGAATGGGCTATTAGGAGGTGGGGCCTACTTGGAAGAAGTAGGTCACTAGGGCGTGCACCTTTGAAGGGTATCTTGTCAGAAGACCCTTCCTTCCTCCTACAAGAATATCCCTGCCCCACCACACCCTTTAGCAATGATGTTCTGCCTTACTACAGGTCCACAGCAATGGAGCCAGCCTACCATGAGTTGGATGAGACTCTTAAAACTGTGAAGCAAATCTTTCCTTCTAGGAAAGATATTACCTCAGATATTTTGTCACAAAGAGGGAGAGATGACTAACACAAACAGAAAATAGTGGTTCCTGAAAAATGTGAGTCAGAGTGAGATTAAAACAAGGGGGTAAGATTTGAAAGGATTATTGTGTGGGATGAGAAAAGAGTGGACTGCCAAACCCTCATTCTGCAGAAGAGGACACCAATGCAGAATATGCATTATAGGCATTTGCTAGTACACAGAAAAATGGAAAGACATTCAGACAGGTAGCACAGAGCTCACTTTCATGGAGCGGACAGTGAGAACTGTGGAGTCAGCTGTTTTCAAAACAAGTCACACAGAATGCTGAATCCTTATGCCAAGTACAGTACATGTTGTCATGTCGAAAACGAACTTTACAACTTTGTTGGGGGGGGGAGGGTTGGGGGGGGCGGGGGAAGGCTGGGAGGGGATGGGAAGGGGAAACAAAGGAGGAGGCTACAATGCTTGATAAGAAATGTACTCATTATCTTGCCCATGTAATTGTAACCTCTCTGTACAGTATTTTCACAATAAAAAATAAAAAAAATCTAAACAAAAAAAATCAAAGCATTAAAAATCAACTTCCATCAGTAACTAAAGAAATAAAAAGTATACTATATCGCTTTACATATATGTCTTCTGACTGGAAAAAAAAGCATTTGATGATACTTGCTGACAGCAGTGTGGGAAATTTGCAGTCCCTTACACTAAAGATAAACACAGGAATGTACAAATCTTTCTGGAAAGCAACGGGATAATATGTAGCAGAATCTTTCAAAGCAGGCATATCCTTTATCCAACATTCTACTTCTCCAATGTCTAGCAATGAGATAATCACACAAGAACAAGGTTTTTTTAGTAACAGTAAAAAAAAAAAAACAGCAAAATGAGAACTGATTTTTTTAACGAAGGGGGAGAGGCAGGGATGTTTTTGTCACCACTTATATACTTCCATTTAGTGTAAGTATTAATAATGTATAAATAGAATGGCCAGGTACTGGTGGCTCAGGCCTATAATCCTAAAGACTAGGAGGCTAAGATCTGATGATCATGGTTCAAATCCAGCTAGGGTAGGAAAGTCCAAAAGATTCTTATCTCCAATTAACTACCTAAAAGCTGGAAGTGGAGCTGTGGCTCAAATGGTAGAGCACTAGCCACGCAGCCAGGACCAGCACTTTAAAAAATTTTTTTATAACAAAAATGCATAGTAGTGGCTCAGATTTTCAGAATTAACTAATTCAGACTTATGTGCATATTCATTATCCTTACATGCCTTTTTCAATTTCTTTCTAACTGTCTAGCTTTAAAAAATAATACTCATCCTTCTATAGAAGGGGTGAGAAAGCAAATAAATAGAAGTTAAATTCAAGCCAGGGAATTGGCCTTTTAATAAACCTTTTAATTGACCTTTTAATAAACTCCAAGTATACTGTCAGAACTGCCAAACACCAATTTCTTTGGTGCTTAGGCCAAGTTAATAGATAATTGTGTACTAAGCTTTTATTCTTTGGAGTGTCAATTACATTTCTAACAATGAGAAGTTTGAAAGTAAAAGACAAGGATAGAAATGGTATGGAGCCGGGAATTAAACATGCCAAGATCCCAAGCAAACTTCTTTGGCAAATCCTAAGTACAAAGCTTTACCCAGATTATCAAGCTACAGAAAGGAAAACAACTAAATAATAGAAGTGATCTTGTATCCAGATTTTTCTATCTTGACAAAATTGTATCTTGATTTGCTGAAAGAAAGATCTTAACATCAGAATGGTTGCCTCTAATCAATTAAGTAATTTCTAAATCTCTAAATGCCCTTTAAAAATCCTTATCCTAGTATTTCCCCATAGGAAGAAAATTTTATAATATTTATGAATGTATTCTACAGAGAGAGTGGATTTAAAGCAACAAAATTTATAAAATATAGCCAAATTTGCTTCTTTCAAGAGACTAAATGGAAATATTAAGCTTTCCCAACACTGAATTTAGAGACATTAATAATTCACACTTCAGGGCAATCAACTACAGAGTACGAAATTAATTCTTACTGTGCATCCTTAGGGTGGGATTCACTATAGTTAAATTATGTCCCAGATTTTCTGATCTGTAATTGAGAAGTTTATTAAGAAGTACACTAGAATACTTACTTTGGTTTAATTTTAATTGCTTGTTTAAAAATTCCACTGTAAGAACAAAGAGTTTGCTCCAAAATACTAAGCACAAATGATACCCACAAGTGATACAGCTACCCTATTTCTATGTCAAAGTACAAGCATGCACAAAGTTTCAGGCACCTACTAAACAATAACAATGTGTCACCTGGTACTTTATCAAATAAAAACTTACGCCATTATCCCAATTCACACTATAGCTTTATAGTTCTTTGCCTGGTAAATCCATAAAAATAGGCTTATTTGGATTTCTGGCTCAAAATATAATACTATTTGTTACTGAAACATTATGGTAATGAAAGAGTTAACTCAATATGCTTATACTATAAATGTAGTTGAACAAAATGTTCCTGTTCTTTAAAATAATACCATGTAGAGAAATATGTAGAATAATTACTTTAAATATAGGTCTCCTTAACGTCACCAAATGTTAGTTTAATATCTGTTAGTTATATAGAAGAAAGCACCTCTCAGCACAAATTTACACAAGAAAATGACAACTGTAATATTTTGAGAAGCAGTTTAAATGTGGACAGGATTGTGAGACTTGTGATTCCATTTAATTCCCACAAAACAAATTTCAAGAGTCAAGAGTCCACCAGAATTACATTCTTTTTATGAGTACAATGCATCTTGATGATCATTCCCCCTTCCATCTCAAAACTCTGTTTAATGTTACCAAACTAAAAACAAATTCACCCACTTAATTAAATTTGAATACTATAAAACAAAATGATAGCAGGCAATTTACCTAGTGTATACTTAAGACAGAAAACAGTATCCACTTTAAAAGTACTTTACCATAATTTGTCTGGCCCTGGGACTTGACAGTTGCTTCAGTCCTCATAGAAGAACCTATCTACTCCACGTTTTCATGACTAGGTTAGAGTAACCCAGCACACCAAACTGTTACATGGAGCCTCACACATTCTGCAACTAACTGACACAGAAAAAAGGGGAAGCGGCTCTACTTTAAACTATTTGTGAGATAAGCACAAGGAAAAAAAAGGATTGAGCTGCATTTTTCTTTCCAAAAGGAAAAAAAATAAAACCTTACTGTGGTTATATGGGCTATAGATATGGAACAAAGATAGCATTTGTTGT